AAAAAAAAAAAAAAAAAAAAAAAAAAAAAAGAAATGAAAATAGAGAATAAATTAAAATACTTTCTCGAGTCCAGATCATCATTCGCTATTTTAAAAGAAGTGGGGTTTAAGGAAAACGCTTTTGCGTATATTAAGTCCTGCTGCTCAATATGCGCCAAACAAGTTGAACCGCAATGCGCAATAAAAACTTAATCACAAAAAAAGTATACATGCAGATCAAACCCACTTTCAAAAATGCGCTATTGTGCTGTTAAGAAAACACCACATCCTGAACACAGATAAGAAAACACTAGTTTCCTTCACTTCTTTCCTTTCTTAGCATTTGGCGCTGGAGTATTCCTTGTTGGAGTGAGTGGTCGGCCCGTGCTACTATTCCCATACGGAAACTTCTTCTTGTCAGCAGGTTTCAAAATCTGAAAGGTAAATAATATCAACTCTAATTTATGCAGTAAGTCTGAAAATGATAAACAAAAGAGCACAGCAAAACCATGTATTCTAGCGACTACTTTTGAAGGTATCAAAAGAGCGTACTTGGAATGAACACATCAACGTTTCGTCCACAGTCATCATAGAGCCAGCGTTATCAAATTCACCACAGTAATTCGGAGCAGAAAAAAGAGTGACCAACTGTCGCTTTGCGAAGAACTCGTACCCGTCTTCCACAACCTATAGCAGAACAAATTAATGTTGAAAGAGTTAAAAAAATAAGGCGACCACAAGCAATTATACATGTAACCCTTAACTGGACTGGAACACCTACAACAAAGTAAAAAGTAGCTATAAATTGTAGTAACTGCTCCCAAGCACTGTAGTTAAACTCAAGGACAATAAACACAAGAAGACTGCAGCAGGCAAATGAGTACTTCCAGCAACAAAACTAATGTGTACAAAAATTAAAATTCAAAATGGTATAAACAAAAACCTGGTGAGCTCGACAAATAAGGTCCAAGTCGTGTTTATGCAAAAACTTCGCAACTACTTCAGGACCAAATGTGAATGATACACCTCGGTCATTTTCACCCCAACCTGTAACCAGCAGACGATAAACTAATACCAACGAGAAGAAAGAAAAAGCTAAAACTGATTATACGACTGCAGTATTAATAATACAAACCTGTAACATCCTTATCAGGATCTGACCATAATAAGTCACAAAGAAGACCTTGATCAGGTACATCAGTCGGGCGCATAATGCGCCGTATTTGTTCCATCGACTGAAGATCCGGTGATAGGCCGCCATGACAACAGAAGATTTTTTCATCAATAATGGCTGCTACTGGTAAACAGTTGAAACAATCAGTAAAGGTCTTCCAAAGCTTTATATTGTAACGCCTTTTGCCTGCAAAAATCGTTTGAACGTAGCGACCACAAATGTTGGGCAGAAAAAAACAAAACGCAATTAAAATGTCCAAAAAAAAAACTTAAACCCAAACAGACAAAAATAACTTACATTCATCGTAAAACCCATATATCCTATTAATAGAAGCGCATTCGTGATTACCTCGCAGAAGAAAAAAGTTCTCTGGGTACTTTATTTTGTAGGCCAACAAAAGGCATATTGTCTCCAAGGACTGCTTACCTCAAAAAGCAATTCTTAAAGTGTCTGTCACAGTCAAAGAAAACTTTATGTGCTGCCAGGTCTTTACAAGTGTATAAAACTTTAAAAGCTATTTTTCAAAGAGGTTTGTGGATAATTACCCCAAAACAAAGACTCAGATTCACTATAACTTCTGGTGCAAAAGATGAATACTGGGGAACAACGAATGACCACAGGAAAAGTACATCAACATAACCAATAACCAAATAGAAAATATTAAAGACTGAACCTCTATCGACATAATCGCCAAGAAAAAGGTAATTTGACTCGGGAGGAAATCCACCATACTCAAACAAGCGTAAAAGGTCATAGTACTGTCCATGAACATCTCCTGTGACACCCATGATTACAAAAGCAGTATAAACAGTCATCAGGCAAAAAAAATTTTTATAATAAATTAGTATAGTAACAGCAGTTAGAAGTCTAGTTACTGAAATCCTATAACCGCCATACCACAAATTTTTAAAGGAGCTTCAAGTTCCAGCAAGATTGGTTGACCGAGGAATATTTCTCGAGACTTGATACACAAGCCCTTTATTTCATTTTCTGTTAGTTGGACATTCTTCCCTGGTTTTGAACCGCGCACTGAAACCAGTACGTAGAATAAACCACTAACTTCTTCACAGATAGTACGAACACTCGATCAGAAAAAAACAGAAACGGAAACTAACCTTCGAGAAGCCTGGCAATTATGTTGTCTAAATTTAGTTTTTCAGACTCGACGGCCATTATTTTCCACAGCCAATCGACTTATATTGACAAAATTGAATTTGATTTTCTGCAAGCCACAACAAAGAAAATAACAGTAAAATAAAGACAAATGTATCGAATTACCCAATATGTAGCTTCTGAAAATATGGTCGGAATCGGACGGAGGATAACAATAAGAACTTTTAAAAACATACATACATAAATCCTAATGTAAGAACCCTAGAGAACGTAAGCAGCATATGGTAAAAACCAATTAATTGAAAAAACGAGAAAAAAAAAAGAAAAAAAGCATAAATGCAGGCAGGAAAATGAAGAATTCAAACAAATAAACATGAAATCATTGGAAGCACCCTCTCATAACACCTGGATGACAGCTGAGGTACCCAAAAAAGCTTCAAATCAACCGTTGCTCAAGGGAAAAATCAGTTGTAAAGCGTA